TTAGACTTACTATATCATCTTTTTTTTTTAAATTGATATATTAAAAAGATTTTTATTATTATATTTCGAACAATATTATATATTTGTAGATGATAACTACACTTATAAGTATTTTTACATTTTATTATTAAAAACATATATTTTTTGTTTGTTACGTCCGAAAAAATTTATATAAATCTAAAATTTATTTGATTTATCGCATACTCTACAATTTTACACAAATAATAAAACTCAATTTGAAACTTCAAATAAATTGAAATAAAGAACATTTGGATTAGTTTTAATATTTTTATGCAAAATTGATCAAAGTATATGACATTGAAATATGTTTTGTAAAAATTTAATTTTATTACATTTATACACAATACATATCATTTTGTACGTTTAAGGATATTAGAATACACGTCTAAATATTAAGATCGATTAAAAAATATATTTAAATATTTAATTCTACGCTTTGTGTGGGTCAAAATCTAGTACATCATTTAATTAAAGAAACACATTCCCACTAGCTAATAAAATTCATTACGAAAACAATTGATTTGGTCTTTGTAGAGATGGCCACTTCATCTTCTTCCTCATCATCTTATAATTATTTAACCTGATGTGGTAGGTCAATTAGTTTAAGGATAATAAGACAATGATGACAAATGAAGATTCTAAGTCTATCACCTTAAAGATGATCCAAACACTCCATTTTTCTTACAAGAACCCATTTAGGGAAGAAATTAAGAACAACAATGGATATATATTCATGTATGCCTTAGAATATTTAGAAAGTTCATTTCTTCTAAATCCACATATCTCCAAGATTTTCATTATTTTATAGAACGTAACTTCTCTTTCTCTTCAATTCTCCAAAACTTCATCTTTCCGATCATTCAAGAGACAACAACAAAAAATGTGTTCTTCTTCAACTAATCTTGTTGACAGAGTCTTACTTCTTGGTTTGAGATGAATTGGTGGAGAAAGAAGGATCGAAAAAGCCATTGAATCACAAAAAAAAAAATTGTTTATGGAGAATGGAAGTATTCTACAAGAAGAGCTGGTCAAATGTTGAGATGGTAAAACCAATCCTATTACAACTTTTTCTGCAAACCAGATCCATAAGCCACAACAACTTTAATCAAAGTAATCTTGTAAGGAAAGATGATTGTAATTACCATTTCTATGCAAGAAAAAACATACGGAAGACGTCATAAAAAAATGATAATTAGGTCAACATTAGCCTATTTTTTTAATTATAGAACATATGACCTATTTTTTAATTTTAATTATTTTTTGGCCTATTTTCATAATTTTCCCA